GACAACTGCGTGTTCTGAGAAACCTGAGCACCGGTACCGGTAGCGCCCTCCGCCGACGGATACGGACGGGACACCGGCGAAACGAAGGACAAGTGAGTGTTCTGAGCAACCGCAGGAGGAACAGTCGCCGGATTGACGCCAGCGCCAGCGGCGGTGAGCTGCTCAGTGTTCATTTCTCCGCTAGTCTGAGATGCTGACGTTTTGAATGTGTTTTCCATAGTTGACCTGAGTAGAGAACCAAATGAAAGTTGTCATTTTTTCTCAGATTCTTAGTAGAAAAATCACAAATTTTATGACTACTGCAGATTTTATCAAACTTTTAATAGATCAAGAAAACTAAAAATAAGAATTGGTAAATAACGCTTAAAAGAATAGCATTAAAAAAAAACTATTAACATCCAAATAATTTATCTTTTTCTTTTCGCGAAAAAACATATTTTTTTTTACAGAAAACCTCGAAATTCATTAGAAAATAAGAAAACGGAAGAAAAAATAAGGAAAATTCTATTTTTCTTACCGGAAAATGAGATTTTTTTTTTCGAAGAATGCAAGATAACACAGAAGAGAATGGAGAAAATAAGTCGAGGAAAAGTTTTTTTATAGCAAAAGCCTAAATTTTGAAAATCTGTTCTTTTGGTAATTTAGTTATTTCTGAGGAGATGCTATACTTTTTTTTCAACAAAATACAAAGACAAATTCGGATTTTCCATTAGGAGTATAAAAATTAAAGACTTACCGAAGCTATGTTTAAATTTAAGGTAATAATGTATATTAATTAACTACTACAATTTAATAATACAATTTAGTAATATTGAATGAAATGCGTCATTGGACTTTTAATTATTTTCTTACTAAAATTGTTGTTTTAACCGAGATACTATGACTAAATACATCATTTAAGTACTTTTCCATTTTGCAAAGTTGGACACATTCTGACCGTTTGAAATTATTTTCTTACTAATATTGTTCTTTTAATCGAGATATTACTAGAAGGAATTTTTATGTAATTACTAAATAGATTAGTAGTCTGTCAAAAAACTAAGGATTCGAATTCACACTAAAGATTAGGTATGCATTGTATCTTAGAACTCTATTTTCTTGACAATGCAACAACAACAACAACAACGACCCAGTATAATCCCACAAGTGGGGTCTGGGGAGGGTAATATGTACGCAGACCTTACCCCTACCCCGAAGGGTAGAGAGACTGTTTCCAGGAGACCCTCGGCTCAAAAAAGCAACAGGAGCCGATATATTAGTACCATAAAAATGCATAATAAAATACCAACAATATAAGAGATATGAAATACAGAATACGAAATACGAAATAGATGGTTGGTATAGTACAACTAGCAGGTAAAGCCCTGCATCAATAAACGACCAATGACATTCTTAGTCTAACTCCTAACTGGCTAGTCTCACTCTATTGTGCTGTAGAAATATTCACAAGTTATTTTCTTGACAATGGAGTAGCATAATTTTATTATTACTGAGTTTATGAATGCAAAGTTGTGCATGTTTTCTTTGCTTTTTTTAAAAAATTTTGGTGATTTGTGGGGAATTGATCTCTTCATTGTTCTTATTTGTCATGTCAAACTATCTTCAGAAACGTAATGAAAAGAGTTTTAACTTCTCTTGTAGGACTAAATGGTATTAACAATCTTATATACCAACATTACAAAATGTCAAAATGAAAATTAGTTGGTTGGAAAATTCACAAGCTATCCTGCTTAGGTGACAAATAGTGTGAATACTTGTAGCAGTTTAAGGTCCTATAAAGAAAGTTACCGAGTCCTAGTTCATAAACCAAGTTTAACTTGTTAACTAAGCAAGAATTGCAAAATCATGTATAAGATAGTGTTTACACAGAAAAGGATTTTTACCTAGTTATACTATATTAGAAACTTATTTACCAATGTTCTCTATGTTTTGTAGTTTTTAATAAGTATCTAGGTTTTTCTTACAAATTGTATAGATTTTTCCTTAAAATGCTCTCACCCCATTATTAGTGTCTTCAATTAAGGAATTCAATTATATCCTTTCCTTCCCCCCCCCCCCCCTCCTCTTCTCTCTCCTTTTTTTTTTACAACAAAATTTCTTAATCTAGCCCAGAATCTCCATCTTCTCTCTTCCCACCATTGCCGACAATTTTATATTATTACATCATCAATTGCATCGTTCTTTTGTTGGGAGACTGGATAACACTAAAAATGAAGAAATATTCAGGAATTGTATTATAAATGTATCATAATTGTATTTAAATTGTATCAGATATATCAATACGTAAAACGTAATTATATCATACTTGTATCACAATTGTATATAACTTGTAGATGGTACATTAATATCCAAAATAATACCTGATACAATACTAATAAATTAATATATAATTATCATATATTTGTGATATAAACTGTGAAATTCGTCACGATCTCACAACTGCTCATAATTCAAATACAAATTTGATACAATTCTAAAAGAATTCTTACACAATTGTGATACAATTATGTACAACTTAAAACCGACTCTAAACTTAAACTGATACAATATCGTATTATACTTGTATTAGTATTGTATCATGTATTGTTTTAGGTACAAATTGTGATACAATTGTGATACAAGTCTAAATTATGATACAACTTTGATCTTCATCTTTTTCAAGTTTCAATTTAAAACATCCACCTAGAACCAACTCTAAACTTAAATTATAATACAATATTTTATTTTAATGGTATTAGTATTGTATCAGAATTGTCTTAGGTATTGATGTATCAAATACAACTCAGATACAATTATGATACCTTTACCATACAATCATAATACAATTCCGAAACTTCATCTTCCTCGAGTTTCATTATGAAATTCAACCTAAAACCAACTTTAATGTAGAGTGAAGCTTACCCACAACTTGATTGTAGAGCAAATCTTCGAATTTCTTCTGTATTGTATAAATAAGAAAGAGATTTTGGACGATTAAAGAGAGAAATCATATATCAACAGCTTTGGAAGGGGAAAGAATCTGCAATTTTGGGGGGGGTAACAGTGGAAGGGGAGTGAGTAAGCGAGATTTTTGGATTAGAAAGATTATGGGTATCAATGCTTTTTTTACTGTGGGTAAGTACAAAGAGAGGTGATGATTTTGGGGTTCAGTGAGTTTTTTAGGTGATAATTTTGGGTAAATACAAAGAGAGGTGATGATTTTGGGCAAGTATTAAGACAAGTATAGTTTTCTTTGGAAAAAGGAAGAGTATCTTAAATGTAGGGGATTATATGTAACTGATACACAATATTTAAGGTATGTTTCATTTTCTCCTTTTTATGGTTTTGTATAAAACTAGTAAATATAGGTATATAAAGTAATTAATAAGGAACCTAAATAAAAGTAATAAATATATTTCAATTATAGTATATCTAGGTAAAAATCCCAAAGAAGACTAAATGACCCAATATGGTGGGAGAAAATCATTTCGATTTGGAAACAACATTTAATGTGGAATTGCTCAGCACCAAAATATTTACTACAGAGTAACTTTGAAGCGTACTTGTACAGAAAAGGTTACTGCTAACATTTACAAGAAATCAAAAACACACTTAGTTACTTTAGAGCAAAAAAGGCTGATACATAGTTTTGCAAAAACCAGCACCATGCACCACATTTACAAAAACAAACCAAAATAGGTTTGGCACATTTACATATACACCGTAAATATACAAGTTTCACTTGCTTACATCTTCAGCGTGGTTGCAAAAATTCGAAAGTTCCTGCTTCTGGAGAGGGTAGTGTGTACGCAGACCTTACCCCTACCCTGGGGTAGAGAGGTTGTTTCCAAATAGATCCTCGGCATCCTTCCCTCCAAGAACTTCCCACCTTGTTTTTGGGTAGACTCGAACTCACAACCTCTTGGTTGGAAGTGGAGGTTGCTTACCATCAGAACAACCCCTCTTGGTTGGAAGTGGAGGTTGCTTACCATCAGAACAACCCCTCTTGGTTGGAAGTGGAGGTTTCACTGTCACCATCACTTTCACAAATTCCAAGCAACAAATTCCGCATTCTTTTTAGCACATCGAGAGAAGGGTAGCCACCAAAGAACTGTTCCTGTGCAAGTGAAGTATAGGAAGTTAGAATTATCAGCCTGGGCACAATAAACATATACTGCCTTGCATATTATTGAATGGAAAAGTTGATGCAGACTAATAGCCTGTTTGGCCAAGCTGCAAAAATCAACCTATATTGAGAAGTGTTTTTCTTCAAAAGTACTTTTGGTGAGAAACAGTTTGTGTTTGGCTAATTAAATTGAAAAACACTTCTGAGCAGCAACTAGTGTTTGGCCAAGCTTTTAAAAACTGCTTCTAAATGTATTTTCCTCAAAAGTGATTTTTAAAAAAGTGTTTTTCGAGAGAAGCTAATTTTTTCTACTTCTCCAAAACTACTAGCTTGTTTGGCCAAGCTTCCTTTGAGAGAGAAGTGCTTTTTTTTTGTCAAAAGTGCTTTTTTCTCTAAAATTAAGGTGTTTGGCCAAACTTTTAAAAGTAAAAAAAGTGCTTTTGAGAAGAAGCAGAAGCCAAAAAAATAGCTTCTCTCCAAAAGTACTTTTTTGAAAAGCATTTTCGAAAAAAATACACTTAGAAGCAGTTTTTTAAAGCTTGGTCAAACACTAATTGCTGCTCATAAGTGATTTTCAAATTAATTAGCCAAACACAAATTGCTTTTCACCAAAGGTACTTTTGAAAAAAGCACTTCTCGAAATAAACTGATTTTTTAGGATTGGAGAAGCTTGGCCAAATAGACTAAAAAGCCAAATCAACCAAAAAGTTCAATCTATAACCTAATCAGCCTTCTCGTTAAAGATAGTCCAAGACAAATCAACCAAAATAAGCTGGAATGAAGTTTAGCGTAAAGCATTTTCCATTAGGATAACATTCAAAAGGCCTAAGTGAAGCATTCTGAGATATTCACAACATAAATAGGAACTAAAACTGAATACACAAAGAAAATTGGTACCGCATCCTCAGCATATAGATAGGCGTGTAGTCTGGCAGTAGGATCTTCTAGGGTTAGCCTGATCCTATAAACGCCAGTAGGGGAGCGATAATCCTCAACTAACCAAGGGAATGATGCCACAACTCGAACGACACAGTGGAATTTACCTACCACCTACAAGGTAGAAGCTCAATGATATAACTTTGAATATGTCAAGTCAAGTATATGGTCCAACACATGATCATTCACAAAATCATCTCAAATTGATGACAACAAAAAGGGATTTTTCATTCTCCTTATTCTGAGCCTTGAAAATTCGAACTTAAAGTGGCAAAAAATACAATAATAGAAGCCACTGAAAGCAAATGGCAATGAACAGATAACACAGAGCTAAATCCAAACTGAACAAACTGGAATACCTCACCAGTTGGATACAATCTCCTATTAGACATCAGTATTCTCTACTCATGGGCATTTCCAGCCCTTCAGCAATAAGTCCAATAGCAAAAAAAGTCTGATAATGCCTGAGTGAAACAACCAGGCATGAAGATGTATTATTCGCAAAGACGTAAAAGAACTGAATGACTAAATACAACTCTCTAACACATAGTAGAAAGCAAAAAGGGAAAAGAATAAATGAAAGTCTTTACGAAGCAGCAAGATACCTTGGGATGCACAAGAGCTCTCATCAAGGAGACAAAAGGCACTTCGGAATGGTCGGTCACTGAAAGTTTATTATAACAAAGTATTATTAGGCGAATGCTGGTATATATTATTATAGATCAAACATGGAGATCTGTCATAAACACGTCAATCAAACCTGTCACATGAGTTGGCCAAGGTAAGACTGAAAGAGGCATCCATCCCCATTTAGATTTGATACGCTTATCATACTCCCTACAGGTATGCAACTTGTAGATGTTAGAATAGTTATGGCAATGCAAAACACGGCACTGGATGGAGAAGAAGAAAATCATCATGACACCTTCAAGCTGCAACAGGATGTTCTGGTGATTCTGCGATAGGCATTAGTTACATATATACACACTCCTCAATATGTCAGACTTGGAAATTTTGAGAGAATACACCAAACAAAGAAAGAAGAAAAAGAAAAAGTACTTAATTAATTGCAAGAAGTGACACCAGACATGCCCATCTCTAATGGGTGCGCCAAATTCTAGAAAAAGAAAGAAAAAACAACAAGATAGACGTAAGATTTAACTCCCAACCTTGCTTAGAGAGGTGCACCCAATAACCATCAGATCATATGATATTTTGAGCTTGGGTGCGCATATATATACTTTTAATAAAGTATAACATTAGGAAACATGGGTTCACGTGACCCCGGACCC